GTTTTCTGTCACCCTTCACCTGAAGATCAGCATTATTTAGAAGAATAAATAATAAATTGTCTATTCATGTGTAAATGTCTGAAATGTGGCTAACAACAGTTTAAGCTTTCAGCTAGCACTTAGTACATATGCCTTCTCACAGTAGGGCTATTTGCTAAGTTAATCCACAATTCAATAATGAGTCACAGTTTTTATCAAATAAGACTGAAAATCTGCACAAGAAAGTTTTATTTGAAACACTTCACTAAGGCTGCAAAGTCAAGTATGCTGTTTAATGAAACATTCACTTGGCGGCCCATGAAAGCACTAGAAAGTTAATTAAAAAATCTGCCGAGCGTTGTGGGAACCTCTGAATGAAGCTGATTGTTCCTCTTTACCAGAGCCATTTCCATATAGTAGCTCAAAGCAATGGATAATAACTAAACATAAAAAATGCCTTAATGTTGCAAGTAGCTTTGCCAATTCAATTGAACATAAAGCAAAAACTTGAAAATAAACTATATATGCATCCCTTCACATAATCTTGATTTCTTTTCAATTACCAAAGAAGTTGATACTGCTCACCCATACATGCAGCAATGCAGAGTACCATAGCTTGGCATGAACCAGTCAGGATCTTGGAGCCGCTGTCTTTCCTATGAATTGAACATCTTAAGAAAATTAAAGGTGTTGCTACTTGTATATCCTTAAAAGTGCAAGTCTATCCAAAACTGATCTCTCTGATTGCTCTGATTGGGGAAGACACCAGTAGTTTGAATTTCCCTTTTCCCTCAGAAAATTGTACGGGATATTGTCTTTACGAATTCCTGACTAATTGTGGTTTATGCCAAGCAATGGCATTTCGCAACTCCTGCTCAAACTTTCTACATGAACATTGTAGAAGTGTTTGCCCTCTTACAAGCTTGTATTCTTACTATAACTGGCTGCTGTTAATAAAAAATGTAGTGTGTTTCAAGTTGTATCAGTAACCACCACCAAGTTAGAACAACTGATTGTCAGCCAAGACATCTTTTTGCAAAATGCTCTAGATGCCTTTTGTTCTAGGTCTAGCAAGGGTTTATGATCTTTTTGTGTATACCAGTCTTAGTGCTCATTCACACATGTGCAGTGCAGATTGACGCTCAGGTTTCACAGCTAATTGATACAGTAGTTGTTCAGCGGTTCTGGTCAGGTTTATATCAAGCTTAGGATGGGTTTAGATCAGGTTCAGAGTATGATTTTATTCTGTTAAAAACTGATGACAACGTTTTCCATAGAAGTCAATACCCTGTAATCCGCACCTGAATTGGACCACACTGCTCAGAAAACGGACATGACCAACGGAAAGGGAAATTTTATTTTATATATTTGAATTGAGCTGGGAAAAATGTGATATTTAAGGCTTCAGATTTGGATATATTTATCTTGCAATTAGAAAGGGACTCATATATTTCTAGTTCTCACAAGAGTAAGGGTAATGTGGTCTAAGAGGAAGAAATAAAAAAAATAAGGTCATCAGCATATGCAGCAACCTCATGGATGATTTTCCCCATATCAAGAAAAGTGATGGCAGTATTTGCTCTAATGGATCGCAGGAATGGTTCTAAAGACATATGTGCATAGGGAAATGAGTTCCCCAATAAAAGATAGTTTCAGGTGGGACCATGCAGCTTTATCAAAGGGCTTTATTGGAAAAAACAAAACAAATGTTCATTGCACAAGTATACACACAGAAGCTGAGCACACCACCATCATAACTTCACCAAACTAAAAAGACAACGTTGTCACCACCTTATCAGCTGCTCATACAACCTCCAACATATACACTTAGGGGGAGGGGGCGAGAAAGGCTAAACGTGCAACTTGGGAACATATGGTGCAATTATATATGGCTATAGTAATCATATAATAATAAAGTGCAGCGCTATTTCAATTCATAAATGTAAATAGTGCACAATAAATATAAAGTGCTCTATGTGCAAAAGACTGTGCAATATATGATCAATAGCAAATAAATACATGAAAAACAACAATCTCCATATGTTGTCAATCTGATTGACAACACATATCAAGAAAATGGATGTAAAGTTCTCACAAGATGATATAAACCCCCCCCCCCCAAATTTTACATAAAATAAACCCTCAAATATCCCCTTTGTGCGGGCATTGCTTCAAAATGGAGGGCTCTGTGCTGCATATTTTCTGGGACTGTCCAGTATTTGCTGATTTCTGGTCTGGTATCAAGACAGCTATTACAAATATGACAGACTGCTCTCTTCCGAATACACCAGCAAATACACGATACACAAATGTCATTCAAACGTTATAAAAACTCACTTCTCAAACATCTCCTGAATGCGGCTAAGGCATGCATACCTGCTCTATTGAAAAAAAAATGACCCCCCAACATTATCTCATTGGCATACAATGGTGTCTGAACATTCAACTAATGGAACAACTAATGGCATTTCTTAAAAACAAATCTGACAAACATGTTGAAATTTGGACACATTGGTTACTGTATAGAAATTCTCTCTAAGCTTGTCAGCAATAAAAATGTGACTATATCAGACGAAGGATATATTTCCCCCTTCCTCACTTCTTTTCCCTTTTTCTTTTTTTTTTCTTTTTCCCCCTCCCTTTTTCATATACACCCCCATAGATACTGCTTATTTGGAAGACTAACCTTAAATACAAAACTAGAAATCTACTGACTATTATATTTATAACATATATTTAATTACTCATGTTATCTTTGACCTATATGTCATTATGCTTCCCTAAATAGAGATTTTTATTCATCTTATAGACATAAACGTAATATAGTCATTGCTAAAACTTGTATCTTTCTCCACAGGCAATACTTTCACTGCAGACATTTCTCTCAGAAAAACTCTCAAATAACATTTTTTACATATTTTTTTCTAATAGTTTTCAGTCATATTCCATATGCTATATACTGTCAACTTTCTGTTACTCTCAATGTCTCTTACTGGTCATATCTCTTTTTTTCTTTCAGTGTATTTAACAGACGGTAGCGCTGAAATAAGAAATCCCCTCACCTCTTGTCTATTTGATTGATGTTAGACAAAATAGATTATAAGGGGAAAATCCCCCCAATGGGAACACAGTCAGCAAAAAAAACACATTTTATAGTAAAGTTTGGAAAGCTATCAGAATTGTATTGATTTCAACATGCAAGGATTAATTTTTTTTAACCCTTTCCTGCCTAAAGTATACATATATGTGGCCCCACTGATCTGGGTTTTTTCCATGGGGCCACAGTGTCAAATTGATATATCTGTTGAGACCTTGCCAGTGTCTATCAAAAACTATAAAAAGCACTTATAAGTAAGTCACTAGCTTATTGAATTTAATGATCTGAAGTGGCCCCACTGATCTGGGTTTTTTCCATGGGGCCACATATATGCATATCTGTCTTTGTGCTGGGAGTGTGCTGCAAAGGTTTCATTGATGTCTGTTTTCCCATAATGGAGATTCAGTTTTACTTTTTGTCCAGGTGACAGGCCAAAGAAAAGGAATATATGGGAAATTTCCTCTTTTGGAACACAGGCAGCTTTTAAAACTGTACAGAAATGTTCTTTCCTTCTATACCCTACATAATAAATAAAATAAATGTTGGACTTTACTTTATATGCTTCAAAAAATGATAAAATGGCAAAGGTCAAATTGATATATCTGTTGAGACCTTGCCAGTGTCTATCAGAAACTATAAAAGCACTAATAAGTAAGTCACTAGCTTATTGAATGTAATGATCTATACAAATTGAAGTATCATTTTACACATAATGGTCACTGAAAGGCTTATCAGTAAGAAAACATGTCAGTAATAATGTAAAATGAAAGAGTCTGACTTTGTACGAGTCCATCATATATGCAATGCTACCAAATCAATCATCTCATTATTAGTCACACAGATTGTCCCCTGTACATTTAGAGTTTTTTTTTACTGATTAAATATCTACTGTAGAACACATTACTACACTCCTTAGAGTGCTTAAACATAATTCATTAGTCTTACTCCCATTGTATTATTGCATGCTATTTTCCTATTATAGCCTTAATACTACAGCAAGATTATCTTAGAGCAAGCATATTAAGCATAAACATATCTAAGCTGAATGCACAAGGAGCTGCTATAAATTTCTGCTATCTGCATTTCAAGACTAATGTTGATCATTATCACTGCAAAGTACTGAAAACACCACTTCAATCATAGCTTATAAGGATTTTTCAACTATCTTAAGATTGCTTTAATTCATAGTTTTAGGGTTCTTCTATCTGTTTACAGTGTGAAATAGAGCATGGCAAAGATAAAAAAAAAAATAAAAAATAAAATAAAAACACAATAATTTTACTTTGGATGCAATGTATGTACTACGTATCCTGGTGCTGTGTGCATCCATATCATTTCCTGATAGAAGCCTTTAGAAGTTCATTGTAGCAAGCTAATTTCAAATCTGTTACTAAGGCTCATTATAGCTACCCATTAATATTGGTGATTTGTAAATTATTGCTATGAATTGTTTGTTGTTTTTCTTCATACCATGTTATTAACCACAAGCCTACAGGACACTTCTACTCCCTTCCTGCCCAGGCCAATTTCCAGCGTTCAGCGCTGTCACACTTTGAATAAAAATTGCACGGTCATACAACACTGTACCCATATGACATTTTTTTGACAAATAGAGCTTTATTTTGGTGGTATTTAATCACCTCTGGGTTTTTTATTTTTTCTTAAACAAACCAAAAACCACTGAAAATTGTGAAAAAAAAAATGTTTTTTCTTAGTTTTTGTTATAAAATTTTGTAAATAAGTTATTTTTTTCTCCTTCACTGATGTACGTTAATGAGGCTGCACTGAAGGGTACTGATAGGCTGCACTGATGGACACTGATAGGTGGCACTGATGAGGAGGCACTGGTAGGTGGCACTGATGGACATTGACAGGCATCACTGATGGGCACTGAAAGGCAGCACTAATACATGGCACTGATATATGGCACTGATAGGTGGCACTGATAGGTGGCACTGACTGGCACTAATAGGCGGCACTGACTGGCACTGTTAGGCGGCACTGATAGGAGGCACTGATGTGCACTGATAGGCAGCACTGACTGGCACTGATAGGCGGCACTGACTGCCACTGATAGGTGGCACTGATTGGCAGCACTGATAGGTGGCACTGATTGGCATTGATAGGTGGCACTCACTGGCACTGATGGATGACACTGAAAGACAGCTCAGATGGCCACTGATATGTGGCATTGATGTGCACTGGTAGGCACTGATATGTGGCACTGATGGGCACTGGCACGAGGCACTGATGACCACTGACATAAGGCACCGATGGACACTGACAGGTGGCACTGCTGGGGCTACACTGATCATCAGGGCACACTGATCATCAGTGCCCTGATGATCAGTGTAGATGTCCCCTACGCGGAAAGCCGATTACCGGCTCTCCTCTCCTCTGTCAGCGTGACAGCTCAAGAGGAGAGAAATGCCAAGGGACACAGAGCACCTCCGAACGCCGTGCTGCACGCTCCCTGAGCCGCGCATGCGCAGTGAGAATGGGAGGACGTCATATGACGTCTTCCCAGAACGAGAGAACCACCTTGCGCCCGTCATATTACTATATGGCGGGCGGGAGGTGGTTAAACAAAGGCCATCATTCTTTAAACACAAATCGTAGCTATTGCAAAACTTTCTGACAAATCTCAGAAATTGAGTTCAGCTTGGGTACAGGTTTATGGCAATGGCGTCTTGTTACTGAATGTCTTAAGTCTGGCTCACACCTAAGCGTTTTTTTCGTTCTTTTTGTTTTTTTGCACTACAGTCCATTTAACATGATTTCCTATGAGATAAGTTCACATGCCTTTTTCGCATCTTATGCATTTTGTGAAAGGGTCATGGACTTTTTAAAACGCAAATCAGTGCTTTTTTGGTTTAATAGACTTCAATGGAGATGCTGCAGAAATGCATTTTGTGCATTTTCCATTTTGCATTTTTTAATATACCGAACAACAAATCAGCCAACAAACCATAAAAAAAGGAAAATGCATCAAAAAACGCGAGAACAAAGCGTGTGTGCAAAAATGCAAAATGCACCATAAAAAATCACTGCAGAAATGAATCAAAAGCAAACTTTATAGGTGTGAAACAGGTCTAGGTCTAGTTAGTAGGACTAAGTTTAAAACCAAAAACTGAGCTTAAGAGCATTCTAAAGAGGATTTAAAGTACAGCTCATAAAAGTTAAATACAATTAAAATATGTATGTATGTCAACGGTATTGTAATTTTTGTATAACCAGTGTTTTGATTTACACACGTCAAGAAGATGACTATACCATCTGGTTCTAATTTGCAGCTTCCTGTTTCCTCTGCTAGTCTAATGCACAGAGGTAATGATGCTAATTCATATCAAGTGCTGCCATTGCTGACCTCCCTGTGAAAACCTTTCTGTTATCTGGCTTTTTCTATACTTTTTGAGTCACTGACCTGGAAAAACTATACAGGATTTCTGATTTAACTTCACTCTAACCTCAAACAACACATTCTTGTTGAGGTCATTGAATGAGAAAAAGTTGAAGCAAAATGATCATTGAAGCCAAGTAGTCAAGGTCAGAAATGGCAGGCCACATGTTTCTCTCATGCCTTAAAAATATTATCAAGCACTTTGTTCATTTTAACTACTTCCCCTCCACCCTATAGCAGAAATACTGCTACACAGCGGCAGGGGTGTGCAAAATCACGTATATATATGTGATTTTGCAGTTTGCGAGCAACACGTGCACCCTACCCATGCCACCATTCGCGGCCTCAGCTGTCAATCATCGGGTCCCGGTCTGGGATTACTCGCTGGCACCCGATGATCGCCGTTTATCTCTGATAGGGGAGAGACCTGTATGTAAACAATACAGATCTCTCCCCTGTCAGCTCCTGCACACTGTTTTGTATGGCTCTGCATAGCAGAGCCATACAAAGCAGTGTGCTACAGTGAAACACAGACATAGCCCATGTAGTGAAACAGCACACAGTTAACCCTTTGATCGCCCCCATTTTAACCCCTTCCTGCCCAGTGCCATTAGTACAGTGCCAGTGCTTTTTATTAGCGTGAATCACTGTATTGGTGTCACTGGGGATGTCAGTGACACCAGATCGGTTACCCCCAGTGTCAGAATGCCCGCTGCAGTCCCACAGTCCCAAGTCGCTGATTGCCGCCATTACTGGTAAAAAAAAAAGAAAAAAAAATTCCAGTATCTATACTGCTATTTGTAAATGCTATAACTTTCACGTAAAACAATTAATTTACACATATTGGGATTTTTTTTTAGCAAAGACATGTAGCAGAATACATTTTGGCCTAAATTTATGACGAAATTAGATTTTTTAACCTCCCTGACGGTATGATTATTTCAGATTTTTGGTGCTGAAAGCGGTACCATTATTTTGCATGGAAATATGTAGTTTTTTTATTGTAGGCTGTAATATTTAGGAATAACTCACTGAAATCTGTCCGAACAAGAGTCTATTAAACATCCGGATATGATAAAATTTGAAACACAAAATCATAAATTATAATTTAATAAATAATCATAAAAAATAATAATATAATAATTATACATTTAATTCAATAATATAATCAAACCAAAAACACGGAAATTTGAAATAGAGCGCCAAGTTCGCACATCACTGAGCAAAGTCGCAAAATCGTTTTCAGTGTCTGATGACGAATTTCTCCACGAATCATTATCACTCAATTCTGCAAGTGGTTTTACTATCGCTGTTCTCTAGCTGGTCTAAAACCGCTTTTGACCTAAAGGGACGCTTTTTGGACGCCATGGACGTTTCTCAGTTTCCAGGCAGAAAGAACAGTCAAAATGCAGACAGGGGACAGGACAAAGCACTAGGGACAAAATGTATGTGAAATGGTTTGAAACAGCAATGTTTTACTATGTAAAATTTTAAACTTTTAAAATTTCCCGCCGCCGCCCGTATGTCCTGACGTCACAGGGACCGGAACACAGAAGCCGGATGCCGGCATCAGCCGGAGGAGATGGCCGGGGACGCTGCAGGGGACACATCGCGGGAGCGAAGGACAAGGTAAGCTCTGCAGGGACTCCCTGAGCAACGCCGCATTGTAAGCCCGAGTGTAGCTCGGAGTTACTGCTTTTGGTACAGAAACTTTACGCCGAGCTACACTCAGGAATATCGCCAGGGAGGTTAAATTTGTTTACTGGACACGTTTAATAGCAAAACGTCAAAATATAGTTTTTTTTCTCAAAATTATTAGTCTTTTTTTGTTTATAGTGCAAAAAATAAAAAACGCACAGGCAATCAAGTACCACCAAAAGAAAGTTCTATTTGTGGGAAGAAAGGGTGTAAATTACATTTTGGTACAGAATTGCATGACTGCCCAATTGTCAGTTAAATTAACGCAGTGCCGTATCGCAAAAAAAAAAATGGCTTGGTCAGGAAGGGGGGTAAATCCTCTGGAGGGCAAGTGGTTAATAATACATTTCATAGAAGATGCTATCTGCCTACCTGACAGCTGAACCCTAGATGAAAAAAACAATTGGCTGCCTATCTTTATATTTCAAGTTTATGTATTTAGTTACAAAAAGCCTCAATCATGCACAAAATTCCTGTTTATGTATAATTATCTGTATATAATGTCAATTTCAAAGTAAACCCTGCACCAGAACCAATATTGCATTTTACAGTCCAATAAGGCATACAAGATGAAGGAGTCATACTTCTATTGATGTATTTCTTCATAATATATCACTTGCCATTGTAGCACTACATACAGTAAATCAATTAAACATCCTTACTATACAATTGCAATATTCAGATGTATAGTAGCATTTTGTTCATTGCTTTTGAAATTCATATTTTAAATGTACCCACAAAAAAGGCATTCATAGTTTAAGTACTCTGTTAAGTAGCATTTATTCACTGATGATGGAGTCATGTGAAATGTACAGCATTTCATAGATGTTCTTAATGGGACCATAATCCTCATCTTTGTTTTACTACTTACTAAGCCACTGAACCGGGAATGCAGCCCCTGCAGTGTCAGGATATACAAACATTTATTTTGGCTCCACTTTTTCATCCATTGCACAGCATCTTTTTAGAACAGCTTCTGATTCCTACCTCTAGCCCACCCACCTTCCTGATGACACCATCACTGTAATCTAATCAGTAGCAGGAGTGTGTAAGATATGCCCATCAAACTCCTGAAAGCCTTCTGTGAAGCTAAAAGAAAGAGGTATGCTTAGGCACTGTCGCATACACCTATCAGCCATACCATTATGACCACTGACAGGTGAAGTGAATAATATTGATTTTCTCATTACAATGGCATCTGAAAATGGGAGGGATATTTTAGGCAGCAAGTGAACATGTTGTCCTTGAAGCTGATGAACTGAATGCAGAAAAAAAAGGCAAGCACAAGAATTTGACAACTTTGACAAGGGCCAAATTGTAATGGCTAGATGACTGGGTCAGAGGAACTCCAAAACTGCAGCTCTTGTGGGATGTTCCTGATTTGCAGTGCTCAGGACCTACCAAAGTGGTCCAAGGAAGGAAAACTGGTGTACTGGTAACAGGGTCATGTGCAGCCAAGGCTGGTCCATGTAGTCCGATCCAATAGAAGAGCTACTATAGCTCAAATTGCTGAAAAAGTTATTGCAGGTTCTGATAGAAATGTGTCAGAACACAAAGTGCATTGCCTTTTGTTGAGGCTGGAGCTGTCTAAACAAAGAGCAGTCAGAGTGCCCATGCTAACCCATGTCTACAGCCAAAAGTGCCTACAATGGGCATGTGAGCATCAGTGCTGGATCATGGAGCAATGGAAGAAGGTGGTCTTGGTGAGAAAGTGGGCTATGAATAAAGTTAATTATAGATTAAATTACTGAGACCCTCAGCAGCAGTTAAAAGTAACGTTTTGATAATGTCAGTATGCTGTATCTGCAGTTTTCTAACCCTAGTAATGTCAAGGCTCTACCCTCTGTGATGATATTATGAACCTCTGCCTACTGGAAGTTTGTTCACATGTTGCAAGGATTAAAGATATCGTGGAGATGTTGTGTACATCGTGGGATATTGTTTTTCAATTGTTGGGACTATATTCCTGAATTCTGTCACATTATCTATTATTGGTTTCAAATAGACTTTTCTTCTATGCACATATATTTTGCAAGCATGTTTATTTTGCACATTATTTTATGGTATACATACATATAACACAATAGGGAGGTACTAGGCTCGGACGTTATACTGCCCAGTGAATACTGTATTCAGGATTATCATGATGATGTGGATGACTGGCAACAAGTAAGAAGGAAACACAAGACAACCTT